ACAGCTTAATTTGGAGCTGGAAGATTTAAAATAGCTTAATTGGCGTATCTGGCCATTGGTGCTGCCTGTTGGCTGGGCCTGTCTTTCCAGCACGGTTCCTCATCCACAGGGAGACTAGCTCAGATTTATTTTTATGGGGCTTTCCGGTCAGTACAAGAGAAATAATGAAAGGGACGGGGCCTCTTAAAGCTAGGATTAGAAATTTTACAGTGTCACTTATGCAATACCATTAATGGAAGCAAGTTTTAAGGCCATTATATTCAAGGGGTGGAGATACAGATTCCGCTTCTTAATAAGAGGTCCCATGGGAGGTTAATAGCAAGTTCTGTCCTGCTCTCCCAGGTTTCCTGCACCATCCAGGGCCATTTCTAAGACACTGCAACAGTGCTGATAATTTTTCATCAATTCATTAACTTTAGATCTCCACAGATTAAAGCATGGTCTGTATCAATTTGAGGGAGGTTTCCTGTTTTTATACAGATAAAAAGTAGAAAGTATAGATAATAAAAATGCTCAGTATACCCATAACTCCCAGAAATAACTAGTAGTAACATTTTTATTTATGGTGCGTCCAACTGGATGAATATTTATTTAAAATTCTGTAAATTGCCACTTAATACTATATTTTGCACAGCTTTCCATGTTTTAGATAGAAGTAAATACTTTTTATGATATAATTTTTATTTCTGATATTTTATTAGGTATGAATATATCTAGCCCCAATAGTTTCATACTTAGATTGTTTCCTTTTTCTTACTGTGTAATTAAGACTGCTGTAAACATTCTTATACATACATCTTTCTGCAGTTACTCATAGGATGTATTTCTCTTCTGGAGTTACTTAGTCAAAGAATACATTTTAAGTTTTGACATGTATTAATGAGACATGATTTTAAACATCTTGTGGTTTAAACTCATCAGCAAGTGTAACTACAGAGTAAAGTTCTTAAGTGTTTTAGTAAAATTATTCTTTAGACATTCGTGAGTAGATGTATACATTATGATTTGTGTTTGGGGGAACTTGGATGTGTGTGTGCCCTTGATTGTCAGGAAGAACTGTTAGGGTAAACCTTAGATTTAGATCAGTTTCCCTTTAACATGATCTCAAATATAATGAATAACTTTGAAAAACTAGTTAAAAATGGAAGTCATAAAGAAAAATACTTTGCTCTAGTATTTCAAGTCAAAATGTAAATTTAGTTACTAATATTGTCTTATGGACTGAAGCTTTTATTTTGCATGTGGACCCACTGATTAGAATTTTGTGTTCTTCTCTGCTGCCCATGATGCATCTATAATTTCCAGGTTCTTCTTTTCTTTTTTTTTTCAAGTGGTTTGAGAACTTAGACACTTTGAAGCCTGGGAGCAAACATTCTGCTGTAGGGCCCTGTTTCCCCAATTTTTTTGTTTTTTCTTGGTAATACTTAATTTGACAGCTGTGTTACTTGGGAGACTTGCTTTTGTAGGGTCTTTCTGCTGCATACTCAGCTTTCACAGAAACAGTTTTCCTCCTTTTTTTTTTTTTCATTTAATGAAATACTTATGTAACTACAATCATAATTTTAACTAGCATGTATTGACTGGAGAACAACTAATCCTTGGCAAGAACACAGCTGCTCTGGTGGGGACATAAGTGTTTGGACCTTCTAGATAGTAGCGCTTTTGGCATCAGTGGGCACTTGGTGTCAGAAAATGTCTTTTGAGGGGAATGGAGAACATTGGCTGATTTAGAGGTTTAAGTGGACATAAGTTAAAAGCATGCCTAATTTGTTGAGGTAGAAAATTTTCTTCCTTTACTAAAGGAAATTACTCTTATTTTTTAATTCTTGTATTGCAGTTAAGGTTTGTATTAAACTACAGGTGTTTTTTTGTCCCTCTCTCCTAGATCTTTTTTTTTTTTTAAGATTTTATTTATTTATACATGAGAGACATAGAGAAAGAGGCAGAGACATAGGCAGAGGAAGAAGCAGGCTCCCTGCAGGGAGCCTGATATGGGACTTGATCCCAGGACCTGTGGATCATCACCTGAGCCAAAGGCAGACGCTCAACCACTGAGCCACCCACGCACCCCGCCCCTCCTTGATCCTTTATGTGAAATTCTATATTTGAAGCATTTCATGTCCAGATTATGTGCTGTAGCCCTTGTTTGTATTTGATACTCTTTGATCATTGGCCTTCTCTGGTAGAATGCTTCCTTTTCATCTTAAATGTTCTCCTTGATAGATATTTAAAATTATGTGCTTCATAGCTACAACGTAAAACAAACAAGTTCATATTATTTGCTTCTTTCCTCCTGCACTAAAATGTTGATTTTTGCTTATTGTTGACTACAAAATTGCACAGAAAATAACAGATGTGATTAGGCTCAGGGAATAAAATGTGATGTAGAATTTGAAGATAGTGAAAAGTTTATTGACAGTGTTTTAGTTTGGTAATGTAAAATTGATAGCTTTGTAATACTGCCCTTCAGGTTATTTTAATCAGAAAATGTGAGCATTATATAAATTTAAATTGCCTTCTTATAAAGTGTAGCTGTCATTGGTTATCTGAGTTTTATTGTGTAAATGCAATTATAGTAAATGAGCATGGCCTTTAGATACACTTAATCCCTAGAGATATTTTGGGAAGAGTTGTAGTGTATTTACAATCAAGGCAGCCATTTGGCAAATAACTCAAAAGTCACATGACTTCAAATGTAAAACCTGTGTATTAAAATCTCTGCAAAACAGAATTATCTCAAGTTACCGTCTTCCACACTGAAATCCTTTATGGTTGTTGCTGTTGCTGATCTTAAACGACATCAAGAGGCCAGAATTGTTGCTTATGTTATCATTTGATATTTGTGGCACAGAAGACAGATTGGGTTTCTAGACTTTACCTATTTTATGAATTTTTTTACTGATGTGTGCTGTAGGTGACATTTAAGCATCATCTTTTATAGTAAAAGGTGTGTGTGTGGGGGGATTGTACCAATGCATCTTAAAGGGAAGTGCTGTGTGTGTAGTTGAAAAGTAAAATATGTGTTTATTTGCTATGATTTTGAAGCTCCTACCATAATTATTTAATATATTAGCAAATAACATTTAATGTAGCACTTCATAGTTTGCAAAGTGTTATGACCCATTTATCTTACTTGATGTCTATGATTATCTAAGCAGATTGGGCAGTCATTATTTCCTTTTAACCTGTAAGAAAACTGAGGTCCCAACAACACACTAAGTGGTGGAGCCAGAACCAAAATCCACAGGTTCCTCAGCACTATGCTTTATGCCTCCTAAAGCATAATTGATTTAAATTTCACACTGGCTCTGAGGGAAGAGTAGTAAGAAGTAAGTAAGAAGTAAGAATAGTCAGTGTCCAGAAGAAATGATACGGAGTGATTCAAAGCCCATAATCACTGAAGTACTACTAAGCCCTGCTGATTTGGGACCCAACCCCACAATAGATGTTAGGAGGACCTTCTTAACCTCATAGCTAGCTTGTTAATTCTATCTTATTCCAAACTTTAGTAAGCCTTGGAGATTTAGCCCTTAGAGAATCTGTGAGTGGACATGGAGGTAATTTTCATTAATTAATACTTAATTTTAATATGTTGGGTGTTACTACTTTCATTTCAACATTTATTATAGCTATTTTCCCTGCAGGGCACCAGGGATACGGTGATGAATGAGATAATTGCCCCTCCCTAGAAGAACTGTTTCAGTGTGAAGCAGAATCTATAATTATAGTTTACCTATGCAGAACTTCCCTTCTTTATTGGTTAAACCAGGCCTTGAAATTTTTCTAAACCTTCTCACCTTCAAATTATATAATTCTGTAATAAGCAAGGAGTTCCAGAATTAAAATGTGGAAAAATTTTAGAAAAATGTACGGAGCAGGTTTTGGAACTTCATATTTCATCCTAAATGTGAAAGGCTGTATGAGCATGTCATGTGCACAACTATCATTTGCCAGATTTGAGAGGCTGCCAGGGGTTTGTAGTGTGGAAAGAGTGAGGTGACTCATGATTCGGGAATGATTGTTTTGATCTCTCCCTGTAGGCTCCGTAGAACATTGGCAGGGCGGCCAGCATAATTAACACTGCACAGTCTAATTATAAACACAACTCTGTGGACAGTGGCTACCATAGAAGAAAGCCTGTATTGGATAAACAATCAAGCTGGCAGGATTCTTGTGAGTGATGACTAGATAAGGTCAAGTTTACTGTAAATAAAATTGCTTTTCCTAGATTGTCTCAGGAGTTACCATAGGGGAAAAAGGTATTTACTGTGAAAGTCTCGCTGGGTTATTTTCTTAAGGGCCCATTGAAGCATTTCTTTATTTCAGTCCTTCTAACCTTTTCATCCTGAGAAAACAGGCGTCTTAATTTTTATGGTGTGCTGTTTTAGGGAGAGGAGGGGGATGGGTCACAGTAGCACACTTGTTCCAGTAATAGTTGAATTGATTTTGAAAAGGTGAAAGAAACTAGGGATTTGAAAAGCTTATATTGGACTAGTGTACTGAAGAGTGAGAAAAGCGAGTCCTGTGGGCTGAGGAAGGTGAGGAGGCTGGGCTCAGGGTGCAGCGGTGAAGTGGCCACGATAGCCCAGGCTTGCGAGAAACTGAGACGTATGTTACACATGATGGCCTTGCACACCAGTCAGAGGCAGCGCAGGCACTGTACGTGGTTGTATGTGTTTAAGGATTTGTTGAAGCGTGGCACGGAGCTGAGGAATGACTTAGTTTAAATATAGGTTTAGCCATTGGCTCTCTGAGGTTTAGAACAAAGCTGCTGGTCCTGGAGGTGGGTTTCACAAAACTGTAAACCTGTGCTGTACTGCAGGATGGTTGTATTTCTGCAGAATGAACCTCAGATTTGTGATTTACCCTAAATAAAGTAGCACTTTAAATCAAATGCTTAAAAATGAGGCTTTTTTTTTTTTTTTTGGCTTTTGCTTTTGCTTTGTCTTATTGAGAAGTACTTAAAATTTTAAATGGACACTGAAAGACATTTTTCCTTTTGCCTTTGTGTTGCCCATTCTCTTTTGGAAACTTGCGAATGTGGTGTCAAAAAAAGCAGAAACTAAACACTTTGCAGCCTTTTCATGTCCTTGAATTTTTGGTGTAGGAGCTGTATAAGTAACAGTTTATGCTTTTACATTAGTTTACACACGTGATCTTGAGTTTTCTGTTAAATGTATGGTTTCTCTTAGACAGTTTTAAAAAAGATTTCTCTTTTTAATAAAACAATATACAGAAATCTAAATTCAGAAATAAATGAGTTAAGTACAGGTTGTTTTTTTGGTTTTCTTTTTCCATAAGAATGCTTTTTTTTTTATAACCATTGAAGAGATTTTATAAGAGGTTTTCTTTAAGTACTGCTCCAATTCCTTTTAAATTTACAAAAAAAAAATTACAAAAAAACTTACAAAAGAAATTCTAGCTTTTTATTTTAAGAGGAGTGGGGAACATATGGATGTAGCTAGCATTATCACTGGCTACATATTTACCAGACACTCTTGGAAGAGGTACAGATATAAAGCTGTGGGGCTTGTGAAAGAGAATTTCTGTCCCTAGCCCAGGACCCAGTTCTTATTTGTCTCTTACATGAACCTAACTAGACTTTTGAGAAGTGAAAAACTGGTCTTGGAGATCCATGAGAACCTGACATAACGTTGATTTTAAGGCTGATTCCTAGGAGAATATGATTAAGAGCCAGTAATACTACTTTCCTGCCCTCCAGCATTTTTTGCTTTAAAAATTTCTGTTGTTTCAGTTTTCTATTTCTTTGATTTCCACTCTGTTCTTTATTATTTCTTCTCTTAGGCTTAATATACTATTCTTTTTGCTTTCCTAGGGTAGAAACTTATATCACTAATTTTGAACCTCTTTCTAACAGGCATTTAAAGCAATAAATTTATTTTTTAAAATTTATTATTTATTTCAGATATTTTTAAATTCCTGTGGTTTATTATTTGGCTTGTGAATTATTTAGAAATTTTCTGCTTTCCATATATTGTCTAGATTATTATTACTGGTTTTTAAAAATTATTTCTATTGTGGTTAGGGAACATAGTCTCTAAAAAACTCTTTCGGTCTTTTAAAGTTCATTGAGATTCGTTTGATGGCCCAGTATATGTATTCTTCAGTTGTTCAGTGTAATGTTCTATAAATGTCTTTTCAGTCAAATTAGATGATGGTGTTGTTTAGATATCCTTGGCTTTACTCTTTTCTTTTCTCCTTGATCAATCAATTTTGAAGAGAAAGATGATAGACTCTCCAGTTATGATTGTGGATGTTTCTGTGTCTTGAGTTTTGCCATCTTGTTTTGAATTTTGAAGCTCCTTTATTAGATACATACATACTTAAGCTTGGTATCTTATTCTGATGAATTTATTTTATCATAATAAAATTTTATTGTAACTTGTTAACCTATTTGTGTTCTTAAATTTAAGTTATCTTTTATAAACAATGTGTAGTTGAGTCTTGCTTTTTTAAATCCAGTGTGACAATCTCTGTCCTTTAGTTGGAATGCTTAATCCATGTACAGTTAATGAAATTATTTATGTGGTTGTGTTTAAATCTACCACTTTGCCATTGTTTTTATTTGTCCCTTTTGTTTTTGTTTCTTTATTAATAGCCCCTTATGGGTTAATTGAGTATTTTAAAATTAATTTTATTTTCTTTACTGGCTTTTTAGCTATCCATCTTTTAAATTTCATCTTTTATCGATTACTCTAGGGTTAAAATTTGCATCTTTAACTCATTAAAGTCTGTTTATTGTGAATATTATATCATTTAACATTTATACCTGTTTCTCTCTCTTCTTTACATCTCCTACTTTTCCCTGGACACTTCCATTTCCCCTTCTCACTTCACAAATATGACTTAATTCCTCTTATCCACCCTCTCTATTCTTTGTGCTATTGTTGTCATATTTTTTATTTTATAACATACATATTCTATATATGTTAAAAACTGCTTACATACTATCTTTAAGATAGTTTTAATATACAGCTTTTTAATGAAATTTTGAGAAGAATAAAGACCATAAACTTTTATTTTTAACAACTTACTCATCATTTCTGATATTCTTTCCTTCTTGCAGATTTCAGTTTGTCTGGTATCATTTCCCTCCCGCCTAGAGAACCTTCTTTATAGGATCTTGTAGTGCACAACTGCTTGGGATTAATTCTGTCAGCTTTTATTTTAGAAGATCTTTATCTCATTTTTTGAGGGATATTTTCACTGGTTATAGAATTCTGAGTTGACAGTTTTTTTTTTCTTACAGCCCCTTAAAAATGTTGTTCTGTCATCTTCTGGCCCCCATTGTTATGATGAAGTTAGTGTTCTTTGTATTATTTTTCCTCCTGTATGTAACATATTGTTTTTAGGCTTTTTAAAAGACTTTCTCTTTGGTTTTCAGCACTTTGACCATGATGTAGCTAGATAAGATTTTCTTTTATCTATTGTTTTTAGAGTTTGATGAGCGTTTTGGATCTGGTAATAATGTTTTCAGCAAACTTAATACAATTTTAACTTTTGTGCCTTCAGATATTTTTCTGCTTTATTTTTAGAGTCTTCTGGGGCTCCTGTTACATATGTGTTAGACAACCTCAAGTTTCTGATACTGTATTAATTTTTCTTTGATCTTATTTTTTTTCTTTGTTCCTCAAATTGGTGATTGCTAGTGATCTGCCAAGTTCATGGACTCTTCCTTCTGCCATCTCCAATCTCCTATTAAGTCTATTCAGTGAGTTTTTCATTTTAATTATTGAACCTTTCAACCCTAGAATTTCCTTTTTTCCCCTCCCATTTGATTGTGTTGTGTAGTTTCAGTTTCCTTACTGAGAGTTTCATATGTTTATGTATTTTCCTTTCTTAATTTTGTTGTTTAAAAACATTTTACTTTATTTAAGACATATTTCAAATAGCTCTGAAGTTGTTACTAAATGCAATATTTGGACCAGCTTAAAGTCAGTTTCTAATGACTTATTTTTTCTTATGGGTCACATTTCTTGTTTTGTTCAATGTCTAGTAGTGTTTTTATTATGTATTGGGCAGTGTTGACATATTGAAGATAAATGCCAATTTTTTTAAAAAAAATTTTGTAGAGTGTTTTGTTTTTTAGTAACAGTTTAGTTACTGGCTGATGGCCTAATACAGGTTTTTTAGGCTTTATGGTTTGCCGGGGGAATATCTGGAAAGCTCAAGGTTTTTTTTCTGGCTCCCCTAACTTAGCACAACTCTTCCGCCAGATTCTTTTTGCCTTGTGGGTTTTGTTAGGGCTTGTTTTTAGACTTTGTTAATGTGGTCTAGAGTTGGTCTTATTCTAGGGTGTACTTTTTCCCTTAAAGTGAAGCCTTTCCAGCATTTCAAATTGATATGCAGAGTGGTCATGAGTTCTCTTTATTCAGGCTGGATTAGATTGGCAATGTTTCCCTCTGTTGCTTGACCTTATTACAGCCGCTCTTTTGTAAGCCTTATGTAGTTACACCCAGCATTGGTTAAGGACTCTCAGGGAACCCTTATACAAACTTCTGTGATTCCTACTCGGCACAGTCCTGCCCTCTCCAGGGTCCGGCCATGCTCTACTAGAACTCTAACTCACTATACTACAATTAGAAAGTTGTCCCAAGGCAGAGAACCAAGCAAATGTAGGCTCACCTTATTGTTCATTTATCCAGTAGCTAAAAATAGTTGCATCATTTTGTCCAGTTTAATAGTTGTTGACAAGAGGAAGAAAAGTCTGGTATCAATTACAGTGTCATATTGGAAGTGGAGGTCTCCCTTTTTTATAATGTGTTGGAGTGAACTTTATAGGTAAGTTGAAAGGGAAAAATAAATCTTGGTCTCTCCTAGAATGAAATAAAGTGAGCTTATGGTGCTTATGAACTGACCATTTCTCTCTGATCTTCCTTCCTCCCACCTCTACTCTTTTATTCATGACTATCCTAGCGCTCTAGTCATAAGGGAGGCAAAGTGGGAAAAGGGAACAGAAGAAAGACCTTTACTTGGATCATGCATCCTAGGTTGTGACCCTGGACCTGTCAATTGGAAAATTAATTGGGCTTTTTGAAACAGCACTATGTAAAAATAGGAATGCATATAGGACTTTTCTGCATTAGTATTTTATGACACTGCTCATACATTGCAAGCATTGTTTGTAAGCAAACAGGGTGTATCAGAGAAAGAGGCTTTTGAGAACATCTTTAAAACTTATCCTGCTAGTAACCACTCTTCAGATTCTGGTGAGAAAATGATGTTTCTTAAACTCATAACTTAACAGAAGCATTGTAATCAATAGACTTTCTGAGTGTGTCCCTTGAGGGGGAATGGGGTATTGTTTTATCAGATCAGGACTATACAGAAAAATCACTGTTTTTGTTCTAAATTCTAGTTGTTTTATTTCCTTTTTAAGATTAAATTTTTAAAAGATGAAACCTCTTTTTGATTGCAGAGGATTGCTTATTGGGGAAATAATTACCTTGTTTGATAAGTATCCATCACTTCAGAAATTTTATAGTTTCCATTTGGAAATGGTCTAGAAGATATAAAAAAAGCTTGAAGCTTTTAGCTCTGTTTAAATATATCTGAGAGGCCTCAAAAGAAGCATAATTCTTTACTGTTAAGGCCCAATTTAAATCTAGCAAGTTGGGACGCCTGGGTAGCTCAGCAATTGAGTGTCTGCCTTCGGCCCAGGGCGTGATCCTGGAGTTCCGGGATCGAGTACCGCATCAGGTGCCCTGCATGGAGGCTGCTTCTTTATCTGCCTGTGTCTGTGCCTCTCTCTCTGTGTCCCTCATGAATAAATAAATAGAATCTTAAAATCAAGCAAGCAAGCAAGTTGCTGTATTACCAAATTGAATATAACCATTTTGGATATGCCCCAAAACCCTTGTTGAAATTAGGCCTATTCTTTCAAAGTTATTCTGGCTTGTTGGTTTGAAAATATACCCCATTTCATTTCATTTTCTCAGAAAATGTAATGGTAGTTTAAAGGGATTAAAATCGTGGGAAGTTTTCTTGTTTTAATTCAAGTTGCTCACTATGTTTTTTGCCATAGCTTTACTTTTTGTTGTGTTTTCTAAATTCAACCCGTTAATCACTTTCTCTCTTGCCAGCACCTTCTATGCATTTTCCCCTTA